ACCTAAAACATCCTGTGGAAACTTAGACGTAACCATGGAAACTTTGATGTCTTGCAGAAACTTAGACGAAACAGTAGAAGCTTGTAGATGCTGTAGGATAGCCAATAACTGCATAACACAATACGGTTCTTTGTTTAGATAAGCTATAAAAAGACCCTCGGACAAAGACCGGGGGTCGACTCTGCTTTGGGCTACTAGCCCCCTAGTCGATCTTGTTTGCGCAAACAATAAACTTGAAATGGACCCAGCCTGAGTGTGTGACTCTCTCCTTGAGGTCAATCGGAAAAGCCTCCGGGGGCACGAAACTAGCCGTTTGGGCAACAGTGGCACAGGAGTGAGAGCGAGTACTTGCTTTACTGGGGCAAAGGTCCTGTGGCATGTCAGAGTTATAGGTCAGTGTCCCCTAACTTTTTTGGTAAAGATACTCTATTGGCCACAGCCACTTTGTGTGTTAATAACCACATTTGAAAATGTAGGTAATAATACTTTGTTTATACATAATGCAATTGCATATGGACATCTCAAATTGCTTTGCAGGGGTGAGTATGCCTAAGTAGGCAGCTGATAAAAGCAGTTTGAAGGGCAGGTCTGGTCCATCCCCAGGAAGATAAGGGTGCCGTTCTAAACTCTGACACAAACTTGGAGCATAAGGCAAGTTTGACACACTTTGCAAATGCTTCTTGGACTTCAAAGTAACGGTCAAAACAGTGTTAATGGGACTAAAATAGAGCTGCATAATGGAGGCTGGCTGCAATCCCAATTAAGGAGCCATTACATTTGCATAGTATCTGTGGGGTTGTTTCTTCCCAATATGACTTCTATTATAACTAGCAAATTGCCTGTCAAGAATAACGGATGAATTTCAAATAACAAAAACAAACAGATGGATTTTACTTTTTATATTTATTAAATTTATTAAATGTTTATAAAACCTAAATAAAATAGGTGGAACATTTGAAGATACCAATCCCTTCCTGCACTTGTTCTTGTCCAGCAGGCTGGAGGCACATCCGCCCATGCTGCCACCTATGCGCCTCTTTCCTGGGCAAGGACAAGGACAAGAGAGCTCCACACCTCACAACAGCTGCCCAGACCCCGGGGCTTCCTCCACACCACCCCTGGGTGCCTCCTTCCCTGCTTGGGACCAGGTCTCCCCTGCTCGCCTACTGCCTCACACCTCTGCCCGGCTCCCACTTTGCCTTAGCTGGTCCCTCCCTCTACCCTCCCTGCTGTGCTGGGCTCACCCCAGGTACCTCCTTCCCTGCTCAGGGCTCGGGATGGGGCCACTGCTGCTTGCCCACTGCCTTGTGCCTCTGCCCGGCTCCCACTTTTCTACAGCTGGCCCCTCCCTCCCCCCGCCTGCTGCGCCAGGCTCCCAGCGCCCTCTGGGGAGGTGCTCAGTAGAAACAGCCCTGGCCCCTGACTTTTTTCACAGTTCTGGAAGTTGGGAACATCGTGACGTGGTCACTAAACAAATGCTAAGGTTTAGCAAAGAAATGTCTCTGAAGACACAAATGTTCTCTCTTCCAGTTTTCAAGCTATTTGCATTTAAAGAGCGTTACAAACAGACAGACACAAAGACAGATGGACTAAGCCCTTTATATATATACTAGCCAATTGCCCATCAAGAATGAAGGGGGAGGGGGAGCGGGCAGGAATGGAGCCCCATCCCCCCCCCCCTTACTCACTATCCTCGCTGCAGTGGCAGGGGGAGGGGAGGAGTGGGCCCAGGCCCAATGCGGGGGAGGACTGGCCCCAAGGGTGGGGAGAAGCCAGGCCAAGAGCCTGGGGGGGTGAGGAGGAGTGAGCCTGAGCCAAGCTGGGGGAGAAGGCCTTTTCTTCTCCACTCCCAGCTGCTGCTGCATCAGGGCGCATCAGGCTGGGCCTGCTGCCCCACCTCCCACCGCTGCAGTGGGCTAGCTCCCCCCCTGCCCTGCATTGGGTCTGGGCCCACTCCTCCCCTTCTACCTTTGTGGCGTGCCCACTCCTCCAGCGCAACCCCCCCCCGTCTCCCAACCCCCTAAAAAGTCCACGTCACCGCCCCCACAGGCATATGCTCTACTTAAAAATAGATAGAGAATGATCAAATCCCAAAACACTGTATGTTTCTTTTATCCCCCCACAACTCCCCCCCCCCACATGGCATCCCACTCCCGCTCCCCTCCCCCACACTGCTGCTGCCGTCACCTCTAAGGAGTGGGGGCGGGGAGTGAAGCCACTGGAGCTGGCCTTGCCCCCGCCGTTCCATCTGCTCCATTGCTGTCTCCTCTAGGGGAGCAGGGCAGGGGCCAAGGCCAGCTGTGCTGACCTTGCCCCCCCACTCCATCCCGTGTCCACACCATCATGGCAGCATGTTGCCACCTGCCTGAATGCTTCTTCGCACTCTGATTGGCTGTTTTGTCAGCCAATCAGAGTGTGAATAAAATGTTACAGACAGACGGACAGATTAAGACTTTTATAATACTAGAATATAGATTTTTAGAAAGCTGTGAAATATTCAGTACATGTCACAGGAATGTGATTTTCAGTGGTTCAGACTAAAGTCAGCATGTGTCAAGCCTAGTTTGATATTAGCACACTGGAAAAGAACATTTACAACAAACAAAATTAACTTTGCTAGTATTTTTCAGCACATCTGCTAGTGCTGTTGAAGATTGTTCTCATTTGAGAACGAGCATAACTTTCTGTTTAAATGCTGAAGGGAAGTCATACCTCTAAGTTTATAGAATCAGGCTATTGCTAGGAAAATTACCCTTCTCTTATGCTTGGGCTGTATAACATGATTGTTTTGGGGGCAAAGATAGGCTTTCAGGATTATGTGTCCACTGACACAGGATGATTCTCCCTCCTCAGAATAGGATGAAGTAGGTTTTATAGAACATAGTGGGCACATCTACAGAAGACTAATGTGCAGTAAAGCATCACTATCTTCACATGCACGGGACTTACTGAGCACTAAATTTGGCTAATGTATGTTTTGCTAGTACCAAGAAATACAGGTACTAGATTAACCATGCATTAGCTACTGCACAGTAGTGTCTGTGTAGATGCTGACTGGGAACAATTTGCATGGTTAATCTAGTACCTGCAATTTTCTCCTGGTCAGCCTAGGCAACGAGGGATTGGGGGTGGAGGCTGTCTGTGGCTCCCGTGCAGAGCTCGGAATCACAGACAGGCTCAGCGGCACTGGTTTGAGGCAGTACCCCATGGCCAAGCAGCAGCAATGCTCTGAGTGCTCTCCTCACTTTGCTTGCTGAGAGAACAGGGTCGCTGTCTGTCCCCACAGCGCTGGGCCAGGAACAGAGAGCTTCTCCATCTCCTCAGCCCTGCTACTGCTTGTGGCAGGCATGCCCTAGTCAACTGCTGCTCCCTACCCATGCCTCACTCCCCTCTTCTCCCGCATCTCCCTCTGGTCCCGGTACTGCTTACCCCTCCAGTCCCAGCATTACTTAACTCCTGGATCCCCCAAGTCATGGGCAGGAAGTGGGAGCCAACTGAGACGTGCTGCATGGGGAGCAGCAGGTCTGAGGGGATGGGGAAGCTCTCTGTCCCCGTCCTGGTGCTGTGGGGACAGAGAGCTCCCCCATCCCTTCAGCAAGCAAAGCTATGGGAGAGCTCAGGGTGTTGGTGCTGTTTGGCCATGAGGTGTTGCCCCAAGCCAGCACCTCCAAGCCAGACTGCGATCCCAAATTGCATGTGGCTGGGAGCTGTCTCCTGCTCCAGAACAGCTCTCCCACACCCTGGAGCCCAGACCTGACCCCTGTGCCCCCTGCCAGCCCAGGGCTGGCACTAGGCGAGCCTGGAGCTACCCCTGGCTGCTGCTCCAGGGTGGGTAGAGGGGGGCAGAAGCCGCCCTGGATTCAGCTGCTCCTGTTGGAAGCAAATTTGCTGCCCACATGGGCATATGTATAGATGTGTTCCTTGGTGCAGTTTACTGCACTGTATTTTAATGCACAGTAACCTTAAGGTGCATTAACCACACCTGTAGATGCACCCAGTGTGTTTTGTAGCCCAAATAGTTTCTGTGTTCTTGTGGGAGTAAAGGAGGATTTTGACTGATGACCTGTTTCAGAATCAAGTTTGGTGCAAGGCTTATACATTTTATATGCGTCTTTCCTGTCCTTGCCATTCAGTTTGCAAGGACACTCAGCATAGTTATAGAGAAAAGCGCATCATTCGCCCCTTAAAGAGAGAGAAAGAGGGAGAGAAACAGCCTTACCCCACAAAACAACAAATGCACGGACCAAGGTTGAAGCAAAACTTTTATGTATTGTGTTTTGTCCCGTTTTATTGTTATGTTTCAACTGAAAGTATAGTATAGCTTCAAATGATGTATTTTGGAAATGCAGCAAGCAGCCCATCAGTCCCTGCTGATAGTTCTAAAATGAACAGATAAGCCGTTTGTTCATTGCAGTTGTATATGTTTACAATGAGACGGGTGTGGACTGAAGGGAGGGGGGGGTGTTTCTGATTTAATTTTCCAAAATATGACTTTTCCTGGACTTGTGTAGCCAGCCCTTACACTAGACACCTTGGTCTAGGAAAGGACAAATAATACAGTCATTTAGGAGGTCAACAGATTGGGAAGGGACATACTTTTTTTTGGAGGGGGGGGTTACAATGATGTAATATCTACAAAATGTTTAACAAAACCAGTACTTCTTATTACTTTCCTCAGTAGTACTATTGCCTTCAGCTGGACTTACTGTGTAAATAGTGAATGCTTATTTAATTTGACAAATAAGTGGGCACACTCTGATTACAGTGCATCAGAGTAGATTCGATTAATCAAATCTGCTGGAGCATGGTAAGTACCACACTCCAGCAGACTCCAGCGTCACATGTATTAGTGTCCCTGCACTGAAAAATGGCAGTGGGGGCACTTCAACTAAAGGTCATTCAATGAGCTTCAGTTAAAGTGCCCCCCACCGCCATTTTTCAGCACAGGAACGCTGATACATGTGATGGTGGAGTCTGCTGGAGTGTGGTGATTACCATGCTCCAAGAGCCACTTTAATTAAAGCACCTTCCCCCTTCCAGTCCTGGAGCACCATTGTGAGGTACCAGGAAAATGCACATTAGCTTGTTTTAACATGCATTAACTAAATAGCATGTTTTTAAATGACACTTTAATGCGCATTAAAATAAACTAATCCACATTAAAGCGCATGTGAAGACATGCCCGGTCTAATTTATCTAGAAGGGAATGCTAAAATATTCTCCTTACTGGCCTTGCTAGATGCTACATTCAAAACAATTGTTTTTCCAAGACCTTAATTCTAATTGTAGTTCAGACAGTTGCTAGTCTGGTGCTTATTTCTGGAAATGCACCTATTTGGATGATACATTTTCAGGACTGGACCTGAGCACTGGCTTGACTCTGCTCCCATTGAAACCAATGGGCATTCTACCACTGGGTTACCTAGCTTGGCCAGTGCTGTGCACTTTGGGAAATTCCACCCTTGGTTCTCAATCAAACACATCCAACCATCATGCTTAAAAAAAATAAATAAAAATTATTACTGTGAAAAAAATTATTGTAAAAATCCTGCCTGCTTCTGATTAGGTGACTAGGCAGCACCAAGCAACTAAGAATTCATGGTCCTACTTAGAAAGATACTGTTGTGTAGTTCAATAAAAATTGGTTATCAGTTTTAAAAAACCCAGAATGCCTCTAAATGTAATTATAAATACTGTATTTACTTGCATACGACACACATTCCCCAAACACTGGGATCTGCGTCTTAAGTGGGAAAGTTAATTTTTCCTCACTGGGATTGAAACATATATTCACTGCCATGTAATTGGCCCAGGCAGAGTAGACCCTTCAGAGTCACAGTTCTGAACAGTAGAATCATAGTTCTGAAACATCAGCGAGAGCCTGAGTGATGCTGAGGAGCAGAGTGCACCTCTCCTGCCTCGGGCCAGCATCAAACATGCTGAGCCCATGCTGTGCTAGTTAAGGTTCTGAAAAAATCATCTTTTTTTTCCCTTCATTTTTCCTTCCCAAAACAAGATGTGTGTATTATTTGGGGGCATGTGATATGCAAATAAATACAGATAATCATTCTGTTTACAGCATAATTGTTTTTGCTGACAATCAAAAGCATGGGCTTCTATATTCCCATGTTGAGGAAAATGAGTGTAAAAGGACAAGAGATAACACCACCCCCAAGGGAGTGCACAAAATGCCACCAAATTGTTCTTTGTTCTTTGCTTTTTACAAAAGTCTTAAATACAGGTAAATATGTAAACACAAAGATTTTGATCCTGTCCTGTTGCAGTCAATAGAAAGTTTGCCATTTACTTCAATGGTGCAGGATCAAGCCCTAAGCTAGTACAGTACATACAAGCCTAAGTCACTCAGGGAGCCATGGATTTAGTCAAATGAAAGATCAAAAGTGCTTGCTTTAAAACCAGTTGCTGGAAGAGTCAGACTCAGTGCTGAAAACCTTCCTGCACATGTTGGAGTTCTCTCGATGGAGAGGGAGTTCAGAACCTGCCAGAAATTGTACTTTTCCTTTCCGGGAAGTATACCGCTTGCCAGATGGTAGGCTTTCATATTTAGACACAAATTGCCTGCAAAGACACAATATTGTTACTAGGTTATAAGCAAAAGGATATCAACTCTGTGGCCTACATGTGTGTAAAATTTCCTTATCTAGTCTCACATACCAGACTGCTTGGTTTCAGTGGGTATGTGTACACATTCATTAATGTTCCATAGTTACTGTGCATTAAGTTTAGTACTTGCATAACCGAGTACTAAATCAATGCACAGTAACTGGCGCTACTGTGCAATTGCACCAGCACATGGGTTTTTACAGACAGTAACTGCACAGTAGACTAATACTACTGCACAATAGCGTATTAGCATGGGTTTTGCCCAGCACTCTACTGCGCAGTGTTGTTAGGGTACTGCACAGTTAGCATCTTGTGTAGACGCACCCAGTGTGACTTCAATAGAAAGCCAGCATAGATAATGATATATCTATCAGTCTGATTAATGTCTTTTTCAGAGAAACTGAAATTCTTGGAAAGCTCCAAATTCTCACATTTGCTTTTCTGTTCAACCTATCAATTGGCACTTTACACTTCTAGACAGAAAGACAGAATGGAAATCTCTGTCACAGGGACTGAGAATGCTTTCTCAAGTCTTAGCAGATCATGATCAGGATGGAAAAACAAATCCAGGCCTGTCAGATAGCAATACAGAGCTACCCCTCAGCAAGACATCTTTTCTTTTATTGTGTTATAATTATATTTCAGAGGGAAAATTGACCATAGTTAGAACAAAATGTTTTCAAAGTACATAAAGTACAATCTCTCTTGTAGGCCACCATACTTAAGCCAAGCACTAAATAGAGTGGCTAATATTACAGACATCAGAAACTGGTTGGTCAAGAGGGGAATCTTGTGTGCTCAGGTCTTGTATGGTTAATGATTTATACCTGCAGTAGCCAACTAAATAGCCCATGCTTCTTGTTCGTGTCTCGGGTCCTTTTACTGTCTGTAACTATGACACTTCAAGCTAGCTGAAAATGGTTATCTTTTCATTTTCTTTGCCTTTTAAGGCCTGTGGAGAAAATCTGGCAAAATGAAGATTCAAAGCATGTCTGGGACTGCATAAGCATTTATCCAAATCTCTGCTGAGCAATAAGTCTTGGATGATTTGCATTAGCAGATACATGTGTGTGAGAGATCTTTCATAGCACCTGTTTTTACTATGCTGAAATCTATTCTCTCTGCCTCTGGGCATGTCTACACATGCTTTAACGCACTTTAGTTAATGTGCATTAAATCTAGTACCTCCATTGTGAGGTACTAGGAAAATGTACATTAGCCTGTCTTAATATACATTAACTAAAATGCTGGGGGCACTTACGCACATGTGGGGAGCCTGCTCTGACGTGCTGGAAATCCAACATAAATTGACATGCTCTGGCAGCCTTGTGCATCACGTGTCTCAACAGCACAGCGTGTCTCCCTGCTGAGAGAATGGCAGCGGTGCACTTTGAAATAATACATGTTTGATGTGCTTTAGTTCAAAGCACCTCACTGCCATTTTCTCAGTGTGGGGATGTGCTGTGCTGCAGATACATGTGATGCATGGGTGCTTTTAATTAGCACAGCTTGCTAATTAAAAGCATCTGGTGCCATGTCAGGACCATGTGTAAAAATGCCCCCAGTTTTTAAGTGATGCTTAATGTGCATTAAAATAGGCTAATGTACGTTAAAGCACATGTGTAGACACGTCCACTGGAAAGTTCCAGAGGTTCCAAGTAATTAAAAGAACTTCTTGTTCTGTATATTTATACTTCTTACCTGAACGGAGATTCGATCTTGTCTATCTGCATGCAAACTAAAAATGGATACTGTGAGAACTGTACTGTGGATATGAAGTCTAGTGTGGCCTCTACTTCAATACTGGTTTCCATACCAGCCTGCACAAACAAGGAATCCACTAGGATATTGCCAGCTACCAGCATAGCTCCCCTGTAAATAAAGTCACATAAAAGAATTGGACATTAACAGATTTCATAAATAAACAGGGGATTAAATTGCAAACAGTCCTAACATCTAAGCACCAAGGGCCAACAACATTTTAGGAGCAGTGGGCCAAATTGATGGAGCTAGGTCCAAAGACAGGTCATTGCTTCTGACGTAGCTGAACTGTGTGCCCCCCCTCCCACAGCAGTGCCACTGACCTGTTGTCAAATTGCTGCTCATGTGCCAGTTTCACAGGCAGGACACAATCTCTCAGTGGGCCAGATCCAGTCCACAGACCATAGGTTGCTGACCTCTGACCTAAGCAGTATAAATTTCTTTCTAGGAAGCCTGTTCTCCAGACACTGTATGTAATTCAGTGCCACTGGGCATAGGTATCTTGCACATGTAGAAGAGAACAGGGCCTTAAATTTTCAGTTAATTATACATGTTGGAAAACATATATCCTTTATAATTGCAGCCTCCTGTATTAGCATAATGGTGCACACTGCTCTGACTTCCAAGGGTGATAACTCAAAGATCCTCTGACAGTTATTTACACCAGTACAAAAAGGATGTGCAAGGCTGCTATTTTGTTTTCTTTCACTTTCCAATGGTTTTGCAGGGGAATGGCAAATTAGGCCCAATGTCTCTTCTCACTTGCATTTCTGACCAACCTTTGTACAAAATGAGGCTGGCATGGCACGAAACTCAGACTTAGTGCAATTGGAACCAGTGGACCACTTGGATTGAATTTGGTCCAGATACATGTTTGCTCTGTTCTAAGTTATTACTGGCTTCTTTTTTGTAATTCCTTTACTAGCTGGCTGTGAAGAACTGTTTTATAGAGATGGGTAAGCCTCACAAAGCCAGCTAGGTGAGGGTCCTTCTCTCTTTAAACAGGTAAAAGTCATGGGGGAGAGCTTAAATTCTTTACTGGAGTTTAATGCATCTCTCTGTAAATACAGAATACTAAAACAAGCAGGGTTGATACCTTATTCAGGAAATCATAATTCAACAATTAAAACCTTGCCTATTTTCCCATATCTAGCCCCTCACTTGCAGGGGGTTTTGTGCCACTTTTCTTGTATGTCCTCAATTCTCATCAAAGTCAAAGGGAGTCCAAGGTAATACCCCAGAGAAGATGCTCACTAGCTACATCGGGATGTGGACTGCTACATTAGTTCAGTTCATGCTATAGTTGGCACACATTCCCATACCTGGAAATTCATGGTAGGCTCTACTGCTGCTTGCCTGCCTCCCAATTTCCAGCCTCTCCGAGGGCCCAATGGCCAAATTATATGACTGAGGGCCAGATCCATCCCACAGGTCATATGTTTGATACCCCTGAGATCAGACATAGACCTGGAATTCAGGAATGTCTGAATTTAAGTCCTAATTCTAGTACTGGCTTACTCTGAATCATCAGGAAACATACTGGACCTCCCTACCTCACTTGGTTCCTCTTTAAAGGTGTGGTTATACCTTCAAAGGTGAGGATTAATTAATGGCTAACATTTTCAAAAGTGCCTAAATTCATTTTGAAAATCAGTTCAGACCCTTAGGAGTCTGAGGCTTCTAAATCTTAGATGATTTTGAATTAAAATTATCCTATATTTTTAAATCATGTTGAAATTCAGTTCTCACTTCCCTTTTTGCAATCTCACTGAGTCCAATAGAGCTATGCAAGTCTACAACCCAATAGAATTAGTCCTCTGAATTACCTGAGTATCTAATGAACTGAAATCACTAACCATACTAAAGGAAATTCATTTTTCTAAGATGTTCTTGTTATTGTTTTTATAGGGAAGGGGAGATCTTATTGCCACTTGATTTTTTTCCTGAAACAATAATCTAATTTTAAACATAACTATCCTTTAATTTTAATTAGACTTCAAAGTCCCTTGATTTTTAAAATCCTCAAAATAGACTGTCTCATTTTACATCTTTCATCATATAAAGTTGCAGCATATACTGAAGGTATCTCACCGATTCTTGACACTGGTTTTGGATTCTCTGTACCAAAGACTGAACTCCATTCCACCTGAAATGTCAATGGCCAGACCACTTTGGAACTCTGTATTGGCCTTCAGCCCAGACTGTAACTGAATGACCTATAAACATAAAAGAACCCGGATAACAACTCGCTTTGCCAAGTGGAAAGTTAAACACTCTTCATTTTGTTGCTTCTTTTAGGGTCAGTTCTCACTTGCTGGAGTTCACCTCCTTTCCATTGCATGTTTGTTGCGAAGAGAAGGAATATCACTGGGGCATAGTGAAGACTTTTCTTCCCTTCCTTCACGCATGAGACACCAACACAGAATACATGAAAATTTCTGTTCTTCCTCTTAAGGCATGACAGAGCTACCACACAAGCAACCAACTCTCATGAAAATCCAGGTGGAATTCTGTCTTACTCAGCGTTCTTTCTTGGGAGCTCATGGCATAATGCAGTCCTGCATTTCTTGTTCGCTGCACCTGAGGCTTATCACTGCAGACCCTTGCTCTATATTGGTAGTAAATAAAGTGCTTTGCTCATTACAGCCCAACAGAGACCTCATGAATAATCTGGAATTGCTGTCCCAGAAAAAGTTCATCTACAGTAAATCTATTGGCAAATATAAATTAGTTGCCTATGTATTCAATATACTTCCTGCCTACATTGGGCCTGCTTGTGGTTTCTTGAAACCTTTACAGCTGGACTGGAAGTGCATTTCATGGAGTCAGTTTCGGAAGTGATAATAGCTCAGGGTCACAACAGCTCATTACATTTGAATTTTGTCAGTCAGCCAGGATTTTAAAGTTCACACTGCTTGGCAATTTGACCTGCTTTATATAGCTGCCCTGGTCACCTTAAAAACAAGAAAAACTAATTATTTTTTTTTCAGAAAGAATATTACGGTTTGAAAATGTTGATTTAGATGCTAAAAATGCTCCTCACTGCATAATATAACTGTCTGGTGGGCCTCAGTATAGTCAACCTGATGGCTGAGGATCATGGAATTCTGGGAGAGGAAGGAAGTACAGCACAGTGGACTGAGCACTGGCCTGGGCACCAGGAAACCCCCACTCCTAAACCTGTGTTGGAGGTTGACTCCTGTGACTTGAGCAAGTCAGTCAGACCCTAATCCTAAGCCAAGGGCAGGCAAAATGCGGCCCGTGGGCCGGATGCGGCCTGCCAGGCCATTCTATCCAGCCCGTGGGGTCCCTAAAATATTATTTTTCGAAATTTTTATCTGCCCCTGGCTGCCCGTCATGCAGCCCTCGATGGCTTGCCAAACCTCAGTAAGCGGCCCTCCACCTGAAATAATTGCCCGCCCATCCTAAGCCCACTGAAGATCAAAAAGTTGTCAGTCAACTCTAGCATGCTGTGAAAATTAGACCATGGTCTTGCCATATTCATGATCTATACTAGAGATGGCAACATACTGTACAGACCTCAGGCCAGATCCAGCCTGCAGAACTATTGAATTCAGCCTGCAGAGTCCAAGGGCTTTGCCTATGCTCATGACTGCATTGGTGCTAAGCAGAGAGGAGCTGTGCCAAGGCCAGGCGACTTACAGCTGTGTCCTTGCTGCAGCTACTTCTTCATCTCACCCCTTAGCCTCCCTACAGCTAGGGTGTGGGTACAGCTTCCAGCCAGTGGAGAGCTGCACTGGGGCCGGGGGGGGGGGGGGGGGGGGTCCAAACGCTCTCCCAGGGGAGAGCTGCACTGGGGCTGGGCAGCTGGAGGCTGTGTCCATACTGCTGCCACTTCTCCCTTCTTCTCCCTCCCCTGCCCCCAGCTGTGGCATAGAAGCAGCAGTAGCACGGACACATCTTCCAGCTGCCCAGCCCTTGCATAGATCCCCACTGACTGGAAGCTGCACCTACATCCCAGCTGGAGAGTAGGAGGCTGGGAGAAGCAGCAGTGGCATGGGTGCAGCTCCCAGCTGCCTGGCCCCAGCACGGGTGAAAGGAAAACCCCCTGTCACTGATACTGCAGAAGCAATCTGGCCCACACTGGACCAGAGCTGAGTTGTTCCAGGCCACAGCTTGAAAAGGGTGCCAGCCACTGGTCTATACAGTGAAAGCTGTGGTGTTAGTCCATGCTGTGTACAGGACACAAATGCCCTTTCACAAAAGTCTGGGCCTGAATTTCTTGTGAAGGAAAAATGTTTGCAGCAGGGGGAGGAGGGAACAATTTGTGTCCTGCCAGACAGCAGCTATAGGGGAAATGAAGAAGGGAGCAGCCATTTTCTATACAATGGAAACTAGTGCCTCATTCCAGCTCCATGCTGTCATGCTTTGGTTGTCAATTTGGAAAAGCAAGTGAGTATCTTATATATTTTGCTAGGAGTCCCCCAGATAAGTAAATCTTGTGGCTAAATTGCCAAATCCTTTCCTTGCTTTGGTACAGTAGCTTGTGTCTGGTCAGTCTGTCTTTCACCTCAGTTGTTCTAAGAGAGGAATTCCTCACGTTGATCAGAGTTAGCAAAGTGAGAGAGGACCTAGCCAGGTCTGGATCTGATCTTTGGGGAAGTCCACCCATGTGGTTGACTCCTGCTGTCATTGAGGGTCTGCTCCTCTCTCACACCTTTTGATAACTTTTGTCCTCTTTCTTTACCACCTAGTTCCCACCCCCTCCTGGTAGTTCTTTTTTTTCCCCCATTGTTCCTGTTCTTCTTCAAGTATTTGCAGGATGTGGAAATGTTTGATCTGCCCCCTCCTATGTGCATGAAGGGATCTCTCTGATCTTTTCCTTGTTGTTGTCCTGCAGTCTTGCTAAAGCTGTCATGATAAAAGATTAGGCTCCCCCTATTAGCCCAGCTTGGTGGCTGGTGAAGTTGCTTTGGGGTCTTAACTTTTATTCCCTTTGTGGCATACAGGGCCTTCAGAAATGTAGTGACTGTATATGGTGACTTCACCTTTTAAGGTCCCAAACATTTTGTGTAGCAGAGTTCAGAAGGCTTCTCACTTGTCAGTTAGTTGTTGCTGGAGTAGGCTGGAGAGTTAATATAAGAATGCAGTAGGCTGAAGATGGCTTATAAGCAAGGATGCCCCTGGCTAGCTGGATCATACGTTGTTCTGCTTTCCTGTGATTTTTCATCTACTCCTGGCTCCATTGAAATCAAAGGAAGTTTTGCCTTTTGAGTTCTCTGGGGCCATGATTACACCTGCTGTAGTTAATTAAAAAGGCCCGGTTTACTTATTTTGATCTGGAGATGCAGCACCCCTTTTTAATTACAGTGAGATTGATTTATAAAGGGTAGGCAAGGCAATATACAATAGGCTATATTCTGGAAAAAAACAATCCTGCATAAGCAGGAGAGAGATTTTGTTACTGTGCACTGTCAAATTGGACTTAGGTATTTGAGAGGAGGATCAGTTTGCTAAGACTGTGTGATTAACTGTGAGAGTTACTGTGCATGTGACTAGAGCTTAGAAGCCTACAATAGAGTTAGGTCAAATCTGCCTTTAAAAGGCAAGCAAAACTTCATGTATGCTTTTTGTCTTTTGCTTGACCCACTCCTTCATTTTCTTGTTTTGATTCAAATCCTGAATCCTTAGGGACAAGAGTGCAAATCTCATTCAAATCAAGAGAAGCTTTGTATCTATAGTCACTGGTGAGATCTGGCCTTTTAGAGGTACTTTTTTCCCTTTGCTTTTCTATTTAAGGCTTTGCAGTGTCACTTATAATAGAAGACAGGGTATGGAAAGTTAGGATCAATGTCTTGGCACTGCTTCAAAATGCTGGAATATGATCCACGTCAACAAAAAAAATCTACTATGTACAGTACTGGTAATGCTACTGTAATCAGCAGCAGATCCAGCAATAAGGCAAGGGGGGGTGGGGTGCAGCCCCACGTTTGGATGTGCTGCACGTGTGCAGTGAGCTCTGCTGTAGCTCAGTTTGCCCTTCCCCTCTGCCTTCCTCCACACTGAATTCAGCAGCAGGGAAAAAGAGGCTATGAACGGCAGTGGCAGGGCTCACCCCATCTGCTCTGGAGCTACATGAAAGCAAGGGCTCTGGCCAGACTTTGAGCCAGGAACTCATGTCAGGACAGCCAAAGGGGTGTGTGACCATGCCACTGCCCTCCTAGACCTGCGCCTGACTAAAATGCAATGGAGCAGCATGCCAGAGAAAAAAAAACACTTTTTAAGAAACTAGCTGTCCTCTACTGGAGTCTGGTTCTTTGCTTTGACCTACTAATAAATCATTTGGTTTCTCTACTCTTCTGACAGGTCTGATGTCTAATAGAAATACTGTTTTTTACACTCCTGAATGTTAATGCAGGCATCTTCATAGGCTCAAGAACAGTTTTATAAGAGTGGATGCTTTTATGAAGGGATTTATAATTTGTGCACTGTCATTCTTAATCCATGGTCCAAGTTGTGAAAAGTGGCAATGCCTGCAGAGTGCACTCTTATGATTTTTGTTTGGGATTTCATGGGAGATGGTGCTCCAAAGCAAACATCAAGAATAGCAGGCAGATAATTAAAAGGATGTCACCAATTTGGGAGCTCCATTCTTATCTGAAGATGCTGTGCCTGACTATACTCCTGATCACTACAGCTGCAAAGCTAATGAAAGAAAACTATTTATCATGGTTATTTTAGTTTTTATATTTCACAGGACTTTGTATATCATTGAATGATTACACCTTTTCTTTTCTTTAACCAATTAGCAAAACAGCCACTGACTGTGAAATGATCCCTTATATTGTATATACAAGAAGAGGGGAGCAGAAAATCCTGTATAACATTTCCAAGGGATTTTTAAAAATCTGGATATGCTGAATATTGGATCAGACAGTTTTAGATCCCTACTCTCAGCCCTTCCAGCCGTCCTCCTATAAATAGGATAGCAACTCTGCCATCTATATCCTTCACACATTTGTTCCTTTCTGTGCTGGACCCATGTTTCCATGAGCCATGCTTTATTGCAGATCTTGCTAGCAGAGAATTGAGCATGGGTGCAGTAGACAGCAATGAACAATGTTATAAATTCTTTTCTAAAGCCATATTATTGGCCAGAACAGTTTACCAGGGTTGTATGCCAGTTTGGTTTGTTAAGAGGATGATGACCTGGATGACCTTTGTCTATGCTGACTAAGAAAAACAAATGAGTAGCCAGCTGGCAAGAAACTTGGCTAATCATGGCTCTTGATGAACCAGCATTTAAGGACCATATCTATCTAGAGACGATTCTCCTCTCAGAAATGGTTTCTTAAGTGGCAGTATTACTATTTAAGGCCACATCTACACTTACATTTAAGCTGTGTTTCCTGGTGCATATCGAGTCACAACTGGAAGGCAATTTCAGATAAAAATGTTTTTATCACAGTTTTATTGGCTTGTTTAAAGGTGGTTGAATTCTGCTAAAACAGTTTATAGTTTAGAACAGAGAGGGGCAATCTTTTTGGCAGATGTGCCAGACATGAAGCCCTGCACACTCCGATCCCCTTCTTCTTCCTGCTCTGCTTTCTGCTCCCTGTCCTATCTGCTGATGTGCTGCCTACCCCCTTCTTCAATATGCTGTGATTCCTAGGGCACTTATGCTACAAGTTGGCACCCCTGCTTTAGAATATCATTGCTAAACTATAGTCTTTATCAGCTGCCGTACACACTAGCCATCTGCATCCTGTTAAAAACTGGTTAGCCTGAATCTGTTTCAACAGTGTTTTTTATCATTTCATGGCTTTAACTGGACAGTACTTAAAGGGAAGCACTGCAGGGTCCATTAAGGTGTCTGCTGCTTGAATCCCCACTTATGCACCAACTGTGCTATTAGTGACACAAGAAAAAAAAAGCAGCAAGTGTTCCCATCTGCTCTCTGTGCTGTCACAGAGCTTCCATTGCCAAGGCTTCCTATATTTCAGCGCTTAATCTAAAATGCTGGTGTAAGTTGAGGCTTGTAGTTCCAACCCTGGTGTGGCCCATACGCTTATTAGGTTCTCTGAAGAGAAGGAATCCAGAGTCCACTGGATGATAGAGTCCCTGCGGTGTCTTGCCAAGTTGTGCTGCCAGAATATTTATGGAGCTTGGTGCATGCACAGCAGTTGGAAGGAGTTAGTTCTGGAAACACAGTGCTTTAGTGCTCTGGCCTGGAGAACCTAGATGCTCCCTTCTCTTTCCCACCTCCCTTTTGGTTTGTTAAATAGGTCACTGTCATGCTGGAATTCATACCTGCCCTTTTCTTCTAAGAACCCAGAATGTTTTCTTAACGAACGTGATTTCCACAGTTTGTTCCCTGTATGTGAAACTCTCTTAGCTGGCAGGACCATTTCAGAGTGGCTGAGATTGATTCTAATTGCACAGGGTCACTTTTGGCAGATACTGTCAAAGGTACAACTTTGGGTAAATTACATTCTGTCTTTGAACAGTTTAACATTTTCCTCCACCAGAAAGTGGAAAGATAAAGGAGAATCTATGAGCTAAGAAGTTTTGCTATGGAAACCTCTGTAAATTTCTACGCTGAGCGAAGTTTGCCCCACAACTGTCTGGAAACCCAGTACTACATTAGCAGGTGTGTTATAACTGGAGACTGCCAATCAACCTTTCATTGGTTGATTTCTACTATTAGATCTCCCCAATTCTATACTAAATTATGTTTGGTTACTGGGGGCAAAGGGGAGAGGGAGAGGATGGAAATGAAACCACACATTGGCTTTGCTTCAGGAAAGGTACCTAAATGCATACTGTGCAAATGTGTCCTCTCTGATCAATCACCTGTCTGAAACTGAAGCTTGAATGCTTAACAGGTAGTCTGAAACACTCTGTGGTTGTGTCTACATGAGACTTTGACTGTATAGTTGTTACTGAGCAGTCATTTAGTACTTGCATACACAAATACTAAATGACTGCGCAGTAACCGGCGTTATTGCACAGTAGTGTTCCCAAATAGCTTTTTGGTGATGCTGATTGCACAGTAGCTCATTGCTGCTCCAGAGTAGTGCACACTTTGTGTTACATGCTGCCACTGTGCAGTAGTAATGAGCTACTGTTCAGTCAGCATCTTGTGTAGACATAGTATGACTATGTATGACATAGTAATGACCACCATATAAAAAGCTATATAATAGTCTCCATTTTAAATCACTGTTTCTGCCTGAAAATTAATTATGTGATAAAATTTGAGTAATAATAATTCAGTAGTTTTGGAGTAGAGGAAGGTGACATCACACAGGAAAACCTGCAACCACTACACACATTTTGCTTGAATCTTTTGTGACACCAGATTGGTTGACGGTAGAATATTTACCATGAAGTTTCTTTTAAATAATCAACGAATGCTCACTTAACTGGTATGGAATTATGAACCCTTGAAAATTGTAAGAAAGACTGCATCATGCATGCAAACCTTAGTAACTCAGTTCAGCATTTGACAGGGAGTACCCAGCCTCAGTGGATCATTGGGCAGATTTGGAATAAGCAAACATATAGGCCCACTGGTGGCAGCACTAAGCAGTTAGGAACTGTCCAATAAAAAGTAACTGGCTGAGAGCAGTATGGTGGGAATCAGCTTGGTTTTTTTTCCGTAGGAAACAGATTTGTCCTTATAGCATTAGTATGTCTTTTAGTGTGATAGGTATTTGTAGCCTTTATCATAGTTTTTTCTTTCTGCTTTCTGGGCTGATTTCCTGTCATTTTGTTTTTTATATAATACATCACTTCTCTTTTGACGGAATAGTAAGCAGATCTGCTAGGTTATTAAACAATATAAAAAAACTAAAGCAAATATCCATCTTAATGTAAGGGGGTAGAAGAAACTGGATTAGGAATAGGGGAGCGTGTGTGTGCTTGAGAGAGAGAAACAGAAGCGTACAGTGTGTTATTAGTACCTGTGAGTAATCTGTCAGGAGGACAAGTCCTTTCACCACGTTAATGGGCTCTCCAGTTGCCGAAAACATTTTAGACATTAAATCAGCGTACCCTTGGAAAAATGTCACAGGCCTGAGCTGAACATCAAACAGGATTGCTGACATGCCAGCAAAGGACTCCAGGTTTTCCTCGCCTTCATCAGCAGATGCAGCTATTATAGTTTCTAGGCCCTGAGCTTCAAGAACGACCTAAAAGGCAACAGTGACACAGCATTCAGGACAAAGTCTGTCCACTGTGGACTTTTAAACGCTGCCAGCATTCCTAGTACCCGAGTCTAATGTACATTTATTGTAACAAACCTAGCTGCATGCAATCAAGATAGCAAAGAGTTTAGAAGACAAATAAATAGCATAACAATAACAAAGTAATCTCAGAGGAGCCTTTCACATTTAATAAGCTTCAGGTGAGGTTTTCTTCTGTTCAAAAGAACAGCTGAAGGCCTATACCTCAGGTGAGCCCTAAGCTCTGAAGACTGCTTACTTTACTATCATTCCACCTTTTGTGTGACTGTGAAGTATGCCAATTCATTCTCCCTCCGTGTGTGCCAAATTTTGGAAATTTGTTGACATGGAGTAAACATTCATTTACTGAATGTGTGCCAGTAAATATCTGAGAGAAATCCAGACTGCTCTTAGGCTCTGTGTGTCCAGTGCTGGTCTGAGACAACTGCATTGCCCTATTTTCAGGAAATGCACACAGGGTGGAAGTGCGAGGGTGAGGCACCTGGTAGTGCTTCCGGGTACAGTACAGAAATGGTGTGGACATGAGCTGTGAGGGGAAAAAAACAGTGACGTTCTTATCATACAGTTCTTTTCCTGAGAGAATTCAGCAGTATTTTTATATCTAATGGATTTTTCATAATATTATTTTTAACAAGAGGCCAAAAGAAAAACTTCTAATTTTAACTCCTATACATTTTTCAAACCAGACCCTGTCCCTAAGTTTCCATTTTTGATTAGATCCCAGACTCTTGGGATCTTATTTTAGAGGTCTCTGAAGTTTTCCCTGAATATAACAGGAAGATGATGTAGTTTTTCTATACAGCTGAAACTTTGGATTTGTTGTATAAGTACCTTTTCTTTTTTAAACATGTTTTCTCATTTTCCGTGTGTCATTCCCCCCCCCCCTCCCCCCACCAAAAGATATATTCTCTGCCTGATCCTGATGCCCCAAACTCCCGTGGCTTTCAATGAGAGCTACATATGCTCAAAGGCTACATAAGGAAGCCCATATTCTGGCTCACTTTTTATTAAGCATATGGCAGTTACCTGGTTGGCATGAAGTCGAGACTTTTTGTTGAAAATAAGGATATTCATGTTACTTTTCCTTAAGATGCCAGAGCCTGAGTAGAGGATGTCGAGGCTGTATGTAGCAGATGCATTAGGATCACCTTCATTAACAAAAACACAGATACATGTGATTAAGTCACATGATTTGGGTAATAAATGGGGTTAAGAGGCTACTTTTTTGTTTACATACGTGTCACATAGCCAGAATAGGCAGAGGAAGATCCCATCTTAGAGAAGCGGTCATAGTTATGAACAGACATGTCCTTCAGAACCTGGCGAATCATTTTGCTGTAGTAAAGAAGGAAGAAAGAAAGAGTGGTCACAAATGTGTTCCCTCTCACGAGGGTGCTAATGGTTTAAGCTAGCTAGGAATCTTCCACTGGAAGACATTCGGTGTTGGTTCTCCTCCACCAGAACTATTCTAGAAATGTTGACTTTCCCTTTTTCATCCCAATTCAGAAAAATTGTTTTCAATAATGCAGAATTCTTTCCTGGGAAAGAATTTTCATTTTTCATCCAGTTCACTTAACAATGTCAGGTCATTAGGAGAGAGGAGATTCAGGTTTGGACATATTCTCCAAGCCATATCCAAAGTCTATGGAAGTCGGTGAATTTCTCCTCATTGGGCTAAGAAACATCAAGACCTATAGAATCTCATTGGGGTGTCTGCTGCTAAATTACTTAAGTACTCTTGAGAATCTCACCAAAACTGATTCTTTTTGTCTTGAAAGAATTTTGAGACAAACATTCTTTGTGAATGGTCCTGGATGGAGAAACCTGTGGGGAGTAAAATCCCTACCTATAGGGCAGGTACTGTTTGATTTTATTTTATTTTTTTAGTGCCTGTCTTTATAACTGTAATGTTAATTGATTTTGGATTTGCAGTCTGTCTATATAAGTTCATTATGCCTTTTATATCAGTGTGAAAGAATCGGGACCCAGAGGTGGTCATGATGCCCCCTTGGTTGCCACTTGACTTCTGCCCCCACTCTGACTCCTCTGGATACCTTCCCTTTCTACCTCATCTGCCATGCCTTGATGTAATTTATAAGGTTTCAGGAGGCTGCCTCCAGGTCCCCAGACTGAACCCAGTCTAGCTCCACCTTGCCCCCCCACACTACGCTGTGGCCCTGCTGGCCTTACTAGTGCCTCAGGGTACCCGTTGACTTATGGGCTATTTCTGACCTCCTTCTGCTCCTGAAGCCATGCCTATGCCTCATGGATGTTACTTTAAGTTGGCCATTGGGCCTCTGGCCCTGGTAAGACACTTGTTTTCCCTGGTCCTAGTCCTTCTCCAGGCTTTGGCCCTCTTAGCTTAAGCCTGCTCTAGTCTCAGCCTGCACCAGCCCACAGCCCTCTGGGTGCCTGACCCCAGGCTAAACTGCCTGACTCTGGCCTTAGCTCTCCCAGCCTTGGCCTAATGTATCACACCAGCCTTAGCCCTTGGGGCCCCTGATGCCATGCTAGGCTGTTTGCTACTGAGTGCCCTTACCAGGCACCCCTCTATGGCCTCCACATGTCCCCCATAGCCACAGTCCAGTCCTCCAATTAGTCTAATCAAAACTTAAATGCAAGCATAACAGCTGTATAACAAAAATCCTCCCCACACTGTGTCCTTACTTCCCTGCAAGCTATAAGACCCCCTTAGCATTTTTCTTGCAGTTATTTGGGGCAGCTTGGGTCAGTTAGTCTGTTCCCTGCAACCATCTCTTTCACGAGCTCCTCTCCCTGCTGCCTGTAGGACCAAACTGACTGCTTGCAATCAGGTACTGAGCTTTTATGTCCCAACGCCCCATCCCTTCCTGTCATGTGGCTCTCCAGCTACACACAGGGGTTTCTGTTTTTGGCCTGAGGACCAACCTGCCCTCTGCTGCAGCTTAGCCCTGCTACTTGCACTTGTTGTCTTTGTACTTGTCTGGAGGTCTACCACTGGGCTGCTAACTGCTGTGCAGCTAGCTCCAAGACAGTCATCCCTCCAGTGGTAGCTCCTACCCTTGCTGTACCTGGCCTGCTTAGTTTCTAGCAGCTGGCTGTTTGCCTAGCTGCTGGCCCCACACAACAAGCTTGATCTGCCACTGTCTCCTTACAGTAACAGAAAACTTTGGTTCCCTATTAAACAGAAACTTAACTTAGAAGATTACTACCACAATATTTTCAGTCTATATTGTTGAGCTAGATGCTTTTATAAGGTCTTAGTAATACTTCTCAATTTGGTGCTAGAAAACTTGAGCCATTTGAAAACTAGCATTGTTTAGAATCAAAGATCTTTCAGTGATTTTTTTTTTCTTTCTTAACCTTCAAAGGGTCTCACGGTTGGTAGGCTGGCACTTCGGGAAACAAACTGACTAACCCAAGCTGCCCCAAATGGTAGGTTGGCACATCGCTTCCATGATTTTTGATGAAATTTAGGCGCTTATCTATTACCGGTCTTTGTTCTCTGTATTTTATAGGAGTCTTAATTTTATGTTTACAATATAAATACAGTACACAAGCACCTAACTTTTGTTAAAAATCATGGGAGTGAAGTGCCAACCTACCATTTTTACCCTTGAAAATCTCCTACGAGGTCTGGATTATATGCTGTTGGAACATACTGATTCATTAAAAATATACAAAATTAAGTAAAGACAAAGTTGTTTTTTTTCTGATAATATCTGTTATTGGACCAAATATGTAGTTGGGAGAGTTGTTAGACAAACTTCCAGCCACAAAGTGCCCTTCTTCAGATCATGAAAGTTTGTCTAACGTCTCTCTCAACTATATAACTGGTCCAAAAAATATCACCAAAAAAACATTGCCTCTTTCATGCTTTCTGGATTATCATCTCTACAAAACACTCCACTTCTTACAAAATGGAATAAGAGGCATTTGTTCCCCAACAACAGCTACATATATTAATTGGCTAGAAACTATATGCTTGTTGGCTTTAACCCATGTTGTATTAGTATAGAGAATAATAAAATACAGGTATGTATATTTGTGTACATGCACATGTATGTGCATGCCTGTATCCAGTCTGGTATTAAACATAATGTACCTTGCAGGCAGTTCAAAATGAAGTATATCTTGGACCACTGAGAGCATGTACTTGTTCATTTCCTGTGGCAGCTCTCCAATAGAAAGCAAGAGGTTTTTTACTTCCATGTAGGATGGGTAACTACTTAAGATGATAGCAGCTGCAGTAGTTCGCACAGTCTTTTCATAAATTTTATGATTCTGGTGGTATATCCTGTTCATTACTTTCTTCACCTAAATAGGAAATAAACTGTTTACTCAATGAATTTTACATATGCTCAAGAAAGCTACATCTTGGAAATACAAAATTAAGCATCAGCAGTGCCTTCCTGCCCTGGGGTTATAGCAAATAGAATAGATTCAGCAGTATAACTAGGAGTGGGGCAACACTCTTTCTTCCACCACCCCAACACCTGCCCCCTGTTCTAGGGGTTTCTCTGCCTGGGGCACCAAAACTTCTAGTTATACCTCTGAATAGATTATAGTCTTCATCTAGTGTTTTTCATATTCAGTGCATCCTAAAATAATTTATAATGGAGCATGTTAAACTCATGCAGTTCCATGATTGTGTGGGTGAAGTAAGGAGCAGCCATTCTGTTTCCAGCAGGATCCTAAGCACAGCCTTACTACAGTAGCACTGACAGCAAGATTATTGGCCATAGCGCTATCCAATAAAAATAGTATAATATGAGCAATGACCAAAGAGATTTCCTTAAATGTTAAGACTGAGAAGTATGTTTTTAAAAAGCTTGCTTACACTTCTCCCTGAGTATTGCCTATTATCACCATGCTTTATTTTGAAGGGCTGAAGGTCTGCTTTGGAACAAATGGAGTCCTAGGAACCACACAATGGTCATAGTATAATGATGTCCCAGCTGAGTGAGATGTTTGGATTGTGAAGCTGCATTATGGCTTGTCAAGTTCATCAGCAGATGGTGCAAGGCAGAAGCAAAAACACACAATACGGTACAGTCATTCCAGGAGCTTGCTCTGTGGTTAATTTGTCCGTCTCTGCTATTTCACTGCCTTAAGCAGTTTTCTGCCAACCTCTGAGTGGTATAAATTATTATGTACTGGAAGAAAAACGTGCATCCTTGAATGGGGTGGGTCTTAAAAGGTAGGCTTTGTTTAATTAACATTTGAAATTTTTATAATTTCTCATGTCCTCTTTTTTCTTGCAGTAAATCTTCTTACCTTACTGGTGATGAAAGAGATGTCATATCTTTGCAGAGCTGTAGCAGCAGCATTACTTATGGGCCCTTCTCCTGACTCAGCATGTTTTAGTAGCAATGGAATAGCTTCTGGCAGAAGGGCATTCTTGAGTGCCAGCAGGTACATTTTCACATCATCATCCTTTTCTGCCTTGCCTAATCCTCCTAGGATCAGCTTCTTAGCTTCTACAACAGCCTAGAGAAAATAGATGCTATGTTTAATATGTGAACGTTCAAGAAGTTAAGCACCCTCAGGTCCCATGTGAGCATGAGCTTTCCTGGGTTCTCCTCCCTTGGTTCAGTTTGAAACAACTGTTTGGATGTGACCAGGGTGTGACTTGTAAAATTTCCTTAAATCAATAAAGAGGCAAGGATTCCATAGGGTGATAGCTGTTATTGGACCAACTATGTAATTGGGATAAAGTTAGACAAGCTTTCCAATGCAAGACATTCTTCAATAGGTCATGCACCGGGGCCTGTTCATAAACATGCCACTCACTAACTTTGCACTTGTTGGTTCAAGGGACTTGCAGCTCAGCTGGTAAGGCTAACAGAGACTGTTTAAATACTCAAAGATGTTTTAACAAAAATATGGCTAAAGAAAAGTTCCTTGGTGCTTAAATACATATTGCTATAGGAATGCACAGCACGTAACAGAAAAATGAAGGGCAGGTCCTTGGATTCCCTGAATCCTACAGACCTGGCTAGCTGAAGAATTGGCTTCCCTAATACTGAGCTACTTTTACCCAGGACCCAGCTTAGCATAGAATCAGTAGCAAGGATCAACTAGATACGTGCCCTCCTGAGCTGTATGGAACATGCCTTGGACATAGTCCAGCATTTGAATGCCCCCTTTCCATAGGACTGAGGTGGTCTAAGTTGCTTAGGGAGATCCCGATTACACAAAGTTTTCAGGAGCTATCTGAATATTTCCAAAATCAGACAAAAGTACTGTTTCTACTGTCAGCACACAGAGGCATGGGACGCCTATACACAAGCAGCAAGGCTGCCCCAATGCGATGCAATTATAGCCTGTCAGAGCAGATTCTATTGATTGAATCTGCTGGAATGTGGTAATTACCATGCTCCAGCAGACTCCAGCATACCATGTTTCAGCAGCCTCCTCCAGCATCTCGTGTCAGGATCCCCACACTTCAAAATGGCAATGGGAGTGCTTTATCTAAAGCTCATTCAATAGTGTCCTGCCACCATTTTGAAGCATGGGGTCACTGATACATGAGATGCTCCGGGCACTTTAATTAGAATGGCTCCCAGAGCCTCTCTAATTAAAGTGTACTTCCCCACACAACTCCCAGAGCACGTGTATAAATGCTCTTTAGAGTTAGAGAGAGGTTTAAGTTTAGTTAGACTACCAGAAAGATGAAGCTGGTAGAGCTATGTGGGGGTAAATTGAAAGTAAGATCAGAATCAGGTCCTGGGTTCACTTGAAAAAAAGAAACCAAAAAACCCCAACCTACTATTAAGAAAGCCCCTCCATTGTGTTAAATGTAGGTGCCTGTGAGCTAAGCTTAAAAACTGAGGGCAAATGGAGCCCCATAGATGCTTACAAAACTCTCCCAGTTATTTCAGTGGATGGTGCTTGTATGGCTGATAGTAAAATTTGGCCACTAGGCAAATAAATACTTACTGGGAGTTTGCAGCCTCCCCTGTTGCACAGTTTTCTGATGACAGCTCCGATGATGATGACAACAGTTTCTCTGATTTCACTTTTTCCAATCTGGCCCTGGAACTTATTCTGTTAGTTAAAAGGAATACTGTTAACCTCCATGTCTAAGTATAATGAGCCAAACCCTGCCATATGCCTCTGTTTCTTGTTACCTTCAATGAGGGCAGTTTTCACCCTATGGGTTGGGCTCAGACTTAGCTGGGAACTGTTCTACCATCATGTGTAATAACCAAAAGTAATTTTCTTTTTAATGCTACATTCAATTTACCTACCCTTGCAGTTTATTGTAAAACTGGTATAAAATGATAATGAAATACTTAGCACCTAAAGGGATTTATTTTTAAATTGCTTTGCTGACATTAACACTTTCTAATTTTTTTTCCTGTTAGTATTTAGGAAAACAGGAGACATACTTATTATAAACATTGGTGATGGTTTACAAGTGAATATAAATTCTACAGTTGAAATCATATATTTTATGCATCAGGATGTTCTGGCTGCACTCCAATCATATGCCTCAAAGGCACTTGAAGGAAAGTAGACAGTGTCTCTTCCCTCCCAGCATGGTTGGAGCTCTTAAGAGTCATAAGAGTGGAACTTTTTGTATTTTGACTTACAGTTAAAGCTTTAAGTAACATCTCATTGGGATGGGAAGCAAATCCACATGCATACAGGAACCGCTCCTGCAGGAAAGAGCTGCTTTCGTTTTTAAAGTCCAGGAACTCCAGCATGGCCTCCAGCGAGGCTGGGGTTTGAGCAGAGGTTACAGCATCTACCAGCTGAGGACTGCAATGGAGTGGGAATTAATAAATTACTGCTGTGAGCTAGACAAAGTGTTATTTACAGACATAAACAAGTTGGTCTAATGACAGGTCTGATTACTGCAGGTAAATGGCAGATAGAATTAATTTATACACTACTGCTTTCAGCATTTCCAGTGTCCATGAAATCTTCCAAGATAAAATGGCTGAAGGACTAGAAATAGATGATATTTTGATTTTTGTCCATACAGAGAAAGAGCATAATAAAAAGTATAGAAGTATCCTGAGTGTTTTCATGTCTAGAGGAATAGATATGAAAAAGGAAAGGGGCATTCTTTCTTAACAGTGTAACAAAAGAGCAGAGAGGTACAAAAATAGTAGCAGCTCTGCAACCAGTCTGGCTACCACTGGACCACTAGCAGCACAGGCACTGATGCCACCCCATGCTCAACTGCCACCCAGGGAGCTCAGGCACCCAGTTCTGCATTTGTTCTTTCTAAAAAAACACTATTGAAACCCCAGAGATAAATAATTTCCATAAAGCTTTGGTTCCAGCTTTGTTCCTGCTCTTTACCAGGCACATCAGCCTGTCTGGAAATCTCTTCAGCACACAGAAACATCTAACTGGTGAAGAAAGCACTGCAAGTACATAAAGCAAACAGTACCTTCCAAAAATTTCTCCATTCGTTCAGCTAGAAGTAAAGATTTACTACTACAGACCCAGCATGTAACCATTGTGACTATTTGTTTATGCATATGATTCCCCCCTTCATTTTAGTTCTCTTTAGACCCTTTAATGCATAAAAAGATGTTCATGACAACTTACAGTATGGCATCACTTTCACTTCTAAGAATCTGAAGCATCTCCTCTTTTGTAGCTATCCTGATATTCTGGATAAAGGACAAAAAGCTTCTTGTTGCTTCAGCTTTGGAAAGGTTTTCAGGTTCCATTTTTTTCCTGATACTCTGCCAGTGCTCTGAAAGCTAAAGAATTAAATAAATTCATATTAAATCTTTTATATAGTGGTTTCACTTCTCAGAAATCAATCCCACTGGATAGAGCTATTGTTGGTATGTGTGTAAATATGCCAGGAATAATTCGTTTTAATTTAATAGCTACATTTCAATTAGTAGGAATCATTCCTACTAGTTTAAATCTCATATACCAGAGATCCCATCTATAGAAATTATTTAAGTTGTCTACAGTATCTCAACACAGCCTTTCTGATGTTTCAGCAATTATTTACTGCTGAGAAACCAGAAGATGTGAAGACTCTTTAAAGTCTCTAGTATCACTCAAATATACCCTTTATCTGAAATGTGATACATTTTAGACCAAAACATAACTGACCAGTTTCTGTGGAAACATACTTTTGCTAGCATTAGAGGAATGTAGGAATTGCCACAGGGCATGGTTATATGAATACGGTTGGGTATACAAAGACAAGGACTTAACTGCACATCAGCTACTCCACGGTAACTGCCTTTGTGTATGCCCTTACCCCCAGCCAGTCAAAGCTAACCCACAGCATCTTACCCCTCTCTCATTGAAGGGAATGTGGACCTATTTTTCATTTATATAAACAAGCATGAGTTAGCTTTCATTTTCCAAGCATACATATGACAATTCTCATGGCACAAATTCACATCCTGCTGCCCTGGTCACCTTTGTTCCATTGTGCTACTTTTCCTATGTCTTGTGAGGGGCGCAAAGGGGTTATTCTTGTTGTTATGTTGGTTGTTTTCATCTTAACTAACTGCTTGTAGATATCAGTTTTGTACATCTCCAAACTTCCCTCTCTGTTGTATTTTACAAATACATATTCTGCATTAGGAAATAGAAAAGCTCAGAGGACTATGTTCTTTCAGACCATAAGAAATTTGTGCAATATTCTGTCCTTTTAACTCTCATGAATACCGGATCAAACTTTCGTAAAGTATTGTATTTTCATGGGGTTTGAATTAAGCAGTAACACTTGAACCTGCCTGCAAATATAAGTATAATTTTGGGTACAGAAGGAAGTTTCCTGAGCTGAAAAAAACAATAATTAGGCAAAGTGATTGAGACACAAGACATTTTCTGGGAATGAGTGACCATCTGGGAACAGTTGATGGCCCGATGCACAGATGGGGGTCATTTAATCTCAGCTGGTCATTAATGCTCAGCACCAAGGTCAGTGTTGCTATATTAAGCTGAACTGTATAAATATAGGAGGTGAAGACATAGATTTGAAGTAACAAGTGATGCAGCTTCAGTTGGCATATTCTAGATAATCATTGTAACTTGCATCATCTTAGATCAGGGGTATCAAACTCACTCAGCATTGTGACCTGGATGAGGGGTATGAGGCCAGTCCATAGGCCAGATCAGGCCCATAGACTGTCTCTGTGCACCAGAGGCAGTGTGTGGGGCTGGTCTGACACGGTTGCTACATGCAGAATGCACTCCAGACAGCCCCACATGCTGCATGTGCTTTGGACCAGCCCTGTGCACTGGATCCCATCCACAGGGCCAGTCTGTGGGCCCAATCCAGACCAGCTGCAGATCTGGCACACAGGGCCAGGGCTGGCATGTGCTGTGTGGCATGTGGGGCTGGTCCAAGACCCACAGGCAGCACCACAGGCCAGATGATAGGGCTCTACAGGCTGGGTCTTTGACACTCCTGTTTTAGATTACTCAAGATCATTTGTTAATATTCATTTAATAATACGGTAGTAATCTTTGGGCATTTTCTGGGAGCTGATTATCTAGAGGAGTTCTGGGTCCAAGGAGAAGTTAAAGGGTTTAAATTCATCTGGACACAGATTACCAGGAAAAGCTTCATATGTTACTGCTATAAGTAATCATATAACATAGGCAATAGAAAAGTTACAATGTTACTACTTTTTTATACATGTTAAAAAGTTAATAGTTGAATTACACAAGAGGAATCTTCTAATCTCAGCTGAGACAGTAATTTACTACAGAGCTCTAGGAAAGTCATTTAAACCAACATTTTCCAATGCAAATGAGTTGAGTTAATCACCAAAATCAACTGCTGGATTTGCAGAAGGACTGCAAGCTAGGTGGAATTATCATAGAAGATTAGGGTTGGAAGAGGCCTCAGGAGGTCATCTAGTCCAACCCCCCTGCTCAAAGAGGGACCATCCCCAACTATATCATCCTAGTCAAGGCTTTGTCCATCTAGGGCTTAAAACATCTAAGGATGGAAACTCCATAGTCTTTCTGGGCAGCCTGTTCCAGTGCCCATCCTAGTGAGAGTTTTTTTCCTTATATCTAACCTAAAAATTCCCTTGCTGCAACTTAGGACCATTGCTTCTTGTCTGTAATCTGCCATCACTGAGAACAGTCTAGCTCCTCATCTTTGTAACCCCTCTTCAGGTAGTTGAAGGCTTCTCTCCCCTCAGTCTTCTCTTCTCCAACCTAAATATGCACAGTTCCTTCAGCCTGTCCTTATAAGTCATGTTCCCTAGCCCTTTAACCACTTCCATTGCCTTCCACTAGACTCTCCAATTTGTCCACATCCTTTCTGTAGTGCGGGGCCCAAAACTGGACACAGTACTTCAGATGTAGTCTCACCAGTGCTAAATGGAGGTCAGTAATCACTTCCCTCAATCTGCTGGCAATACTCCTGCTAATGCAGCCCAGTATGCCACTTACTTCCTTCATACAGACTTTTGTATTATATTCAGCTTATTATCCACTGTAATGCCCAAGTCCTTTTCTGCAGAGCTGCTACTTAGCGGGTCAGTCCCCAGTCTGTACCAGTGCATGGGATTGTTCCATCCTGAGTGCAGGACTTTGCACTTACCCTTATTGAACCTCATGAGATGTCTTTTCATCCAGTCTTCCTATTTTTCTAGGCCTGTCTGAATCCTAGCCCTAGCCTCTAGCATATCCACTACTCCTCCCAGGCTGGTTTCATCTGCAAACTTGCTGAGGGTGCCCTCCATCCCATTTTCCAGATCGTTGATGAAGACATTGAAAAAAAACAGCCCCAGGACCAACCCCTGTGGGACTCCACTTGATACTGACTGCCAACTAGATACTGAGCCATTGATTACTACCCTTTGAGCCCACTGATCCAGCCAGTTTCTATTCACTTTACAGTCCATTCATCCAAGCCATACTTCCTTAGCTTGCTTGTGAGAATGTTGTGGGAGACCATATCAAAAGTTTTACTGAAGTCAAGGTACACCACATCTACTGCTGTTCCTGTATCCACAGAACAAGTCATCTCATCATAGAAGGCAATCAGGTTGGTCAGGCATGACTTGCCCTTGGTGAATCCATGCTAACCATTCCTAATCAGTGATTAGTAATCACCTTCTTGCCCTCCAAGTGCTTAGAAATGGATTCCTTGAGGACCTGCTTCATGATTTTTCCAAGGATTGAGGTGAGGCTAACTGGTTTGTAGTTCCCCAGATCCTTCTTCTTTCCTTCTTAAAAATGGGCCCTAGATTTGCCCTTTTCCCAGTTGTCTAGGACCTCTCCCGATTGCCACAAGTTTTCAAAGATAATGAATTGGGGTGATTTGAAGTCTCAAATGAGAACCAGGACCTGTGATCTGGAAACTTCTGCTACCTGTTTGAAGAACACCTCATCCACCACATCTTCATGTTCTGGTAGTCTATAGCCGACACCTACCATGACATTGCTCTTGTCACTCTCTTCTCTGACTCTAATTATGATTGCTTACAACTGCTGAAAATCAAATAATTTCTTAAGATGCCTAAATACAGACTTGTAGGCCTAACTTTAGACAACCAAGTTTGAAAACTGTTGACTTAACCTCAGTACCTTGATTTCCAACCTTTAGAATGGGCATAGTAATGGTTACTTTTCCTACATTGCATGGGTGTCAGTAGGTCTAGTTAATGTTTGTAAAGGATTTTGAAAATGTAAAGCTGTGTAGTATATCATATCAGTGCGGTATTAATGTATTCAATGATATATAAGTACCAAATATTATGTTGCTGCTTTGGATACAGTGTTCTGTTTATAGATTAGTCTTTTCAAAGCAGTTACACTAAAATACAGTAGGAAAGCAGGATTTCATTCTCAGTGCTCCATTAGATTTATAATGAGTATGTCATGTCTCATTCCCCATGAATTGCTCTGTAAATACACCCTATGGTTTTTATTTTGACTTGCAAATTATCTTCACAACTATTATGACAAATTTGAATCCAAATGATTTGACCTCAGCTCTAACGATTGGAAGTGACAAATTATTTGGTGCAAACACTTTAAAGGCATAACCCTTTGAGGACATCTATTTCCAATCTGCTTGATCTGAAGTTCCCCACTCAGGACTACTTCAGCATGCATAAAATATCATATCTGTTTCACTTCCCTGACTTTAAAAAAGAAATCTTTTTTATAATTATATAAAATGCCAGGCAAGATATGATAGTATAGTGCATTTTTACTGCCAGATAACTAATGCAGTCTCCAATACAGTGCACAGGTACTTTTGGAAGCCTTTAATTAAATTGAGCAGGGCTTGGCAACTTTTGGAATGGCAAGCCAGTGCTTATGACCCAGCCACTGTCATGGGCTGCCTATCACCCCCATAGTGCCCACTGTGGCAAGGGCTGGTGTACTGTGCCTCTCCACTGCAGCCTTCACTTACCAAGCACTGCACCAAAGTGTGGCCAACAGATCAACTAATTCAGCAGCAAGAGTGAGCAGAGATGAAGGGAGTACAAGCAACCAGCACTCAGCACAGAGCAGAGAGAATTAGGATGGCAGCAGGAGGTTTGAGAACAGCTTCTGTGCATCTCCAATCCCCACTAGATCAGGACTTTGTGGACTTGAGTCAAGGTCTGCAGTCCAGATTTGAACTGTGGACCATCAGTTGCCAACCCCTGAATTGGAGCCACATCTCTCACATTTAAAAAAAAAAAAGTTTGAACCATAATATTTAAATTCTGAAGTATCCATTCACCAGCAACTGCATTCAGTGCTTGAATTTAAGATGAGGGTTCAGCATGGGGGAAAAGACCTCTCATCTTACAATCGAGTACAGACAAGGCAAGGAGCTGCTGTGGCTCTGGATGGGGTCAGTGTGGCTCATGTGGAAAGTAGGGAGTGCATGGCAGAGCATGGGAAAGGCATGCACAGTATGGGGGGAGCATGGGGGAAAAAGGCAGCAGGGGTTATGGGGGAAGGGAGCAAGGTGGGATGGGGAAAGGGGCACATGGAACGTGGGGAAATGGCACAGGGGAAGGGACATGTAGAGTGAGAGGAGTGCAGTTCAGGGGAGAGCACAGAGGAAAGGGTGTGTGGTGTGGAACCATGGGGAAGGGACTCAGTGTGGAGTGGGAACACAGAGGGAAAGGGCAGTGGGGAAGTTTGTGGGGGAAGCAACATCTGGAACAAGGGAGCAAAAGGAAGGGGAGTGTGGGAGAAACATGGGGAAGGATCATACAGTGCAGAGGGAACACAGGGAAAGGGACATGGAGCACAAGCAAAGGGCTTGTGGGTAATGCAGGGAAGAGGCATGGGGAGGATGCATGGAGAAAGGGTACATGGTGCTGCAGGGAGCACAGGGAAGGGACGCACGCAGGAGGGGGAGCGTGGGGAACAGTGAGAGGAAAGTGGAGTGAGAAGAGCACATAGAAGGGGCATGCAGTGCAGGAGGAGCGCAGGAAAAGAGACATGGGGAGGGGGTACGTGGAGCCCCAACCCCAACTGGAGCTGGAGGCTGAAGCCAAAGCAGTCACTGCTGCCTGAGCTAGCTAGGTGCTTCATGCCCCCAGCAGGCACAGCATGAGCTGCAAAGATGAGGGGGACAATTGGTAGGTGGGGGAAGGCACTGGAGGAAGACAGGTGGCAGGCAGGGAGCAGGCATAGAGGGCAAGTGGCAAGGTGGGGGATATGAGGCAGGCTACCTGCCCTGCAGCTGCTGCTTCCCCTGCCACTACTTTCCCTGTAGCAGTGGTGGGAGGGATGAATTTAAGAGGACCTTCCAATAACTAGATTCTAGACATGATGGAAAATTAAATTCTTAATTTTCCATGTCTACAAGGTAATAATTGAGGGGGTCAGCTTAAATTCAGGATCATTTTAGGTTTGAGTAAATATGGTTTTGATTAACATATCCATTGGCAAACATTATGACAACAGTATAAATGTTTAGGAATGAGAGTTAGTTAAAGGGTAGCTTTTACATTAAATTATGTTAATCTATAAACAAATACAATCTCAAAAAAACCAAAATTGTTGGGGGGGTAGGAGTTAAACTCCTCAAAAATAGGAAAGTGCCCATTTTAATTGGTAGAATTACAAGGCATAACTTTATGGATTTACCTATAAGTTCTCAGAAATGTTGTTCTCTACTCTTAAGAGTGTGCGCTGTACATTGGAGGGAATGTGCTATATTTTCTGAATGTAAAAAAAGTTTGATTTCATGTTAAATGCAAGTCTTAAGTCTGCCTCAATTGTTGGGCCACCGCAGCACCATTGTAATGCTCAAAAGTTCTTGAGAGATGCTGCATTTTATATTGGTATGTTGGGAATCTCTCAGATGCATGAAATTGCACAGAAATTTCTTTTTTTCAAACTTGCTTTACACACTTTCCTGAACTGCAGGTAAAGGAGTATAAACAGTATATTTACTTACTGAGGGGCAGTTTTTGCACTCAGCCTTGATGGGCTCTGCTACTAGTGGAACAGCTACGTAACTTGAGTCCAAAGTCTTGATAACGCTGGCAGCCTGCTTCCCAGCGATCTCTCTAGGGCCAGCTTCAATTGACTTCAGTTCCAGCTTCTGCCTGTGCATGTGCATATTGAAATCCACTGTTAAGGCTGAGAGCACTTTGAAATAACACCAGAATCATACAAAAGATGTTATTACACTTGCCTGAACCATAGCATGTAACTCTTGAGGAGTATGCCATCCTCATCTCAGTATTTACAGGATACTGCAAATGTTTCTCCATTTTAAAGTATAAGGAGGTTCTAACACTAGAGAGAATTGAAGGAAATCTACCATGTTTCTTCAAATATGACATGTTTAAATAAACAAATAAACACATCTATATGGCGCATCTACATCAGACACTAACTGTGCAGTAGCCGAATAATACTGCGCAGTAATGCATCACAGCGTCAATAGTGCTAATATGCTACTGCGCAGTATTATTTGGTTACTGTACAGTAGCATCACTAAAAAGGCTTTTGCCAGTGCTGCTGTGCAGTAACTATTACTGTGCATTTATTTGGTACTTGATTATACAAGTACAGGCAACCCCCGCTTAACGTGGTTTCACTTAGAGCAATTTCATTATAGCACTAATTTAAAATACCTACCTGGTTTCACTTAGCGCTGAGCATATTTTGTTGTAGCCCTCAGCACGGGCATGGGGAGGAGCAGTGGCGTTGGTGTCAGTGTTGAGGGAAGTGGTGAGTAGCAGCCGGCAGGAGCCCAGGGAGGGGTGGCAGGAGCCTGGGGTCGCTCTGGCACATGGTGCTAGAGCAGGTGGAGAGGAGCAGTAGCAGTAAGAAGGGGGGGCCGCAGTGTGAGCTTGGAGCCCAGGCTGCTGGGACCCAGGGTGGGGTGGCAGGAGCGCAGGGTCCTCTCTGGCACGTGGTGCTGGAGCAGCTAGCAGGCAGGGAGGAGCAGCGGCGGCAGCAAGAAGGGGCATGTGGGTGGCAGGAGCGTGAAGCCCAGGGCAGGTGGGTGGCAGGAGTGCGGGGCCCAGGCCGGCGGCACAGCAGGAGTGCGGGGCCCAGAGTGGCAGGAGCGTAGGGCCCAGGCCAATGCAAGCCAAGCCCACAGAGCTCCCCTGCCCCCTGCAGCGATCTGTGCCGGTTGCCCTGGAAGGAGTTCCCACTGGGCAAAGCAGGGCATGGGTGGGTGAGTGGCCCCACTGTTTACCCCACGCCAGAGCCCTGCTGCCTTCTCCCCATAAATCTCTGGGCAGGTGGGTCCCCCAATGCCAGCAGGAGTGCAGGGCCCAGCCTGGCAGGGCCCAGGGTGGGGCTGCAGGAGCGCGGGGTCTGGGTCAGCAGGTGGTGTGAAACCAGTTATCTTTATTTACATTAAATCCAATGGGGAAAAGGGTTTCACTTAGTGCTCAGTTTTTCCAGAACCAATTAAGAGCACTAAGCGGGGGTTGCCTATACCAAATAAATGTGTGGTAACCACTGCGCAGTAGCCTCTCTTGTAAACCCACCCATATATATAACTTTATTATATGAACATGCACATACACATATCTATAAAAATGTGTGTACATGTGCATGTGTATATAATAAAATATAAATAAATATAAAATATAAATATATACAATTTTATATATATATAATGTGGCCTGAGGAGTCATAGGAAAGTAGGACTAGAGGGGATCTCACAAGATAATCTAGTTAAGTCTGCTGCTCAAGGCAAGCTCATCCCTGCAAGATCATCCCTACCCAAGTGTCAGTCTAATTTGCTCTTGAAAACTTCCAAGGATGAGATTCCACAACTTCTCTAGGTAGCCTGTCCAATGCTTGACCATCCTCATAATCAGAAAGTTCCTCCTAATCTCCAACCTAAATTTACCTAAAGTTAGTAAAAGCACAAAGCTTTTACACACACGATAGAGGTTGTAGCCATGTGAATGTGCCTTCTTTATGTTTATTTCTTAAATTTAAAAGTCAGAAAATGTGCAAACTTATTGAACAAGGAGATGCAATAATTAATAAATGTACAGGTAGACATAGATTCTGCCTGAAGAGCTTATGTGTTGGAGCCAGCAGCAGCCCCATTGTAGTGGTTCATTTTGCATGAGTAAAAGTTCATGTGGGTTTGTAGGAACAAGCCCTAATGTGAGACAACAAAAGTGCAATAACTAATAAGGTAAAATAACGAGGGAGGGAGAATGATTTAAATCATCGAGACTTGTACAGTATTATAGAGGACTTCTCTGCACCAAACCATGGTTTTGAATGAAATAGACATGTTAGCCTTTTCCCATTAGTAGTTGAATTTAACTTGTCAACTTACTTTGAAACTATTTTGGCATTGGTTGTTTGTCGGAAATTCAGAGACAAGACATGATTCTCCTCTGCCCATACGGATTTAATAAAACTGTCTTCTATCACATAGATTGTAGCTGAGGTGGTTTTTGCACTGACATCTAAAATCTGGAAAAGAATAGAAAAGTTCTGATTGACAGATCTGGCAGTCCACACACTGCATCGGCAAAACTCAACATAGAACAAGCCCTGGTGATGGATGGTGGGGCTGGGCTTATGCAAGGGGTGTCCAGCCTTTTTGAATGTGGGGCCGGATCACAAACTTTTTATCACCCAGTGGGCCGGTGAGCCATATTCAAAGATGTCACAGGAAGTGTTATCAAATCAGGAAGTGATGTCACGTGACCTTTGACACCAGTGAAGTTGCAGGGGTTGACATGGTGCTGGTTGACATGGCATGCATGCCTGGGTTGACATGGTGCTGCAGGAGCTGCTTGGCTACAACCGGGTTGACCTGGTGCTGCAGAAGCCGTGGGGCCAGGCCGGGGTTAACCTGGGGCCCACCCGGCCTGCTGGGGCCATG